CTGCATCCCGTTTTCTTTAAGCTAATGGTGGCGATTCGGCATCCCGTTTTCTTTAAAGCTAATGCTGCGGCATCCGTTTTCTTTAAAGCTAATGGTGGCGATGCATCCCATTTTCTTTAATGCTTGTGGCGATGCCATCCGTTTTCTTTAAACTAATGCTGGCATCTGCATCCCGTTTTCTTTAAGCTAATGTGGGCGATGCTGCATCCCGTTTTCTTTAAAGCTAATGGTGGCGAATCGGCATCCCGTTTTCTTAAAGTTAATGGGCGTATAGGTGCTAATGGTGTTATTCTGGGACGATAAGGGACCTGAGGGATCGGCGGTAACGGGCTGGTTGCCTCGATTTCGATCAAGGATTTTCGTTGTTGTTTGTTCCGTTTACTAGTTTATTTTTTTCTGGTGTGTCTGTGTGTTAGTTCGTAGGGGTGAGGCCGAGATTTTTTTCTGGGTTCTTATTCCATTTATTTTATATTTTTCCGATCTCGATTTCTTTCTCTTGTTATTTGTTTATTTATTTTGAGGGGAAGTACAACTGAAAAAAAAATAGTTCCCGTTCTCTTGTTCTCTCGTTTGTCTGTCCGCGCGCCATTGTCTTCTGTAGTTTTTTGTCTGTGCACGTGCAGTGTGCGTTTGGAACTTCTTTGTCCCTCTCTCCCTCCCTTCCTTGTTTCCTCTCTCTCCCTTCCTCCTTCCCTCCTTCTCTTCCTTTTTTCCTCCCGCTCTCTCTCCCTTTCTTTCTTCCTTCCTTCCTACCTCCCTCTCTCCTTCCCTCCCTCCCTCCTCCTTCCCTACTTCCCTCCTCCTTCCTCCTTCCCTTTCCTTGTTTCCTCCCTCTCTCTCTCCCTTTTCCTCCTTCCTTCCCTCCCTCCCCTCTCCCCCTCCTTCCTCCCTCCTTGTTTCCTCCCGCTCTCTCTCCCTTTCTTCCTTCCTCCCTCCCTCTCTTCCTCCCTCCTACCAACCGCTGAGGTCTCTGCTTATTACGCCCTCGGCACACGTTTGTACTGCGTTCGTTTTTATCATCGTTCTTCTTGGCTTTTTTTTCTCTCCCTCCTCTCCTCTTCCGCTCCCTCCTCTTTCTTGATCTAATCTGTTTCTTTTTATTTTTAATTTTTCTTCGTTTTTGCTATTTTCGTCCTTCTCTTTCTCCTTCTTCTTCTCTTCTCCTCTCTTCTTCTCCTACTCCTTCTTCTTCTTCTCTTCTTCTTCTTCTTCTTCTCTTCTTCTTCTTCTTCTTCTTCTTCTTCTGCTTCGCCTTTTTCTTCCCCCTTCCTCTTCTCCTTCTCCCTCCTTCTCCTCTTCCTCCTACACCTACCCTCCTCCTCTCCCCCTCTCCTCCTCTCCTCCCCCTCCTCCTCCTCACCCCTCAAAGAATGCACTGTCAAAACGCCTCCTTAACTCTCAAGTTATTATTCTTTTAATTGCCATTATCCAAGTGTGTCTGTCTTGAGGTATTCGTTTTACTAACGGATTCACGCTGTTGCAACTCGCGGACTTTCACTTGTGTTTTGATGTCACCGAGAGAGAAGGGGGAAGGGGGGAGGGAGAAGGGAGAGGGGGAGAGAGGGGAGGGAGAAGGGAGAGGGGGGAGGAGGGGAGGGAAGGGAGGGGGGGAAGGAGGGGGAGAGGAGGGGAGGGGGGGAGGAGGGGAGGGAGAAGGGAGGGGGAGGAGGGGAGGGAGAAGGAGAGAGGGGGAGGAAGGGGAGGAGGGGAGGGAGAAGGGAGAGGGGGAGAAGGGAGAGGGGGGAGAAGGGAGAGGGGGGGAGGGAGAAGGGAGAGGGGGAGGGGAGGGAGGGAGAAGGGAGAGGGGGGAGAAGAAGGGGGGAGGAGGGGAGGGGAAGGGAGAGGGGAGGAGGGGAGGGAGAAGGGAGAGGGATGGTGGAGGGGAGGGAGAAGGAAGAGGGGGAGGAGGGAGAGAGAGGGAGGAGGGAGGGGAGAGGAAGAGAGGAGGAGGAAGGAGGGAGAAGGGAGAGGGGGAAGAAGGGAAGAGGGGGGGGTTAAAGGAAAACGGAAGGTGGAAGGGGTAAGGGGGAAGGAGGGAGGGAAAAGGGGGGAGGAGGGGGGGGGGAGGAGGGAGGGGGAGCGGGGGAAGGGGAGGGTTGCCTGTCATAAGGATCGAGAGCGTTTGGTATTTACTGTGTGTTAATTAGCGTGTAATTATACGTCCTTGATTGTTTTTCTCATATGTGTAATTGGTGTTAATGGTTGTTACGACTTTCCAGGCGTGTTATGCTACGATATATGTATATATATATATATAATATAATATATATATATATATATATGTATATATATAATTTATATTGTGTGTGTGTGTGTGTGTGTGTGTGTGTGTGTGTGGTGTGTGTGTGTGTGTGTGTGTGTGTGTGTGTGTGTGTGTGTGTGTTGTGTGTTGTGTGTGTTAATGTGTGTGTGAATGTGTGTTGTGTTATTTGACTACTGAATTTATACGCAGTTTTGTATTTCATTTTAAATATCGTTTGTTAAACTCTGTTGTTCTGAT